ATTATTCCTAGATTTGATAGCTACAGAGTCTATCTATTCAAGTTTTTTCCCTTCTTTTTTGGGGGGGGCTTAAATCAGTTGGAATAATTCATATGCAACTGATGAGTCTTAACTGATACAATATGTTTCACAAATTAAGTTGAAAGAATTAGTAATCTTTCCAAAAAAATTGTTGACCACCCTTCTGATGCTATATGTTGATATTTTCAATAAAATAAATTATATGTGCTTGCTTTTATTTTTTATAGTATTTTACTAAAATATTTCTTCTAAAATATGTTTTGCATTTGTATATAAAGACATATTTAACTAAAAATTACATGCAGAATTTATCTCAAAAAGTCTCTAGAGCATTTATGTAAGAACATTCTTTGGATCATCTGCAGGTTTTACTGCTTTCACCCTTTGTAAGGCTCCTCCTCGAACAGGAAGTTTTTTAAGAGCAATATCGGTATCAGCCAGAGGTCCTCCCACTAATCGGGCAGGAGTGCTCTCCACTGCTACTACCCGTCCAGAGAGCACCTAAAAAAGCAAAAGGTCAATATCTAAGAGTCCATTTAGCACATTTTTCCATAGGTAAAAAACTCATTCATCCTTTAGCTTATTTTGGAAACAACACAAAACATACATATAAGTAACTGGGAGGCAGCATGACCTATTGGAGAGATAAGGGCTTCAGAGCCAGGCAAGTGGGCATGAATTCTACTTCTACCGCTTATTAGCTTTGCAATCAGGGCCAAATTATGTCTAGAAGAGGACACCAGGAACACTGGGTTACGGCATGAATCTACTTGCCAGGCAAAGGAGGCACTGCACCTTTTCTGATAAAGAGATGTAGAGCTATCATCTGACTAGTGTTTGCAGCAGTTCCGTGGGAGTCCTGGAGGCCTGGGTCTAGTCTAAACCAGCCTTGGGTGAGGGTGGAAGTACCTTAAAGACAAACATGCCTTCACTATATGAAAATTGAAGGGCAAAAAGAAAAAATATGGGACAAATTTCATGGAAATAACCTTGGGGACTAAATTAGATATCTACTAAGAAAAGTAATGGAGAAAAAAAAAATCTTACCGTTGTGTTAAGGCCTTTAATATCTGTCTGGTGAAATATTGCATTTGCTGGTCGTTCACCGTATCTAGTGGATTCAATAGCCTTTTCCTGAAGTTTTTTTGCTTTCTGAAGATTTTTAAATTAGAAAGAAAATAACCTTGCTATTAAAGCATTAACGATGATATTTACAATGAAGTATAAAATTTATATTTAATTATGTCTGGCTGCTTCTGTTTTATTAGTTAGCACTGGGATCTGCTAATCATTTAGGCTAAGAAGATAGTATTAGCAAGTTGTATCATTTGTACATTGCAGAATACACCAGTAACCTAAAAACATTACTGAGATTTCCAGAAATACTGGTCATATACCAAGAAGTAAAGCAGGCCCTAGAGAAATTGGGCTCAATTTTTAATGCATAATTGAATAAGTTACTGAATTTACATCAGGTGATGTGTGTTTTCAAAGTATTTTGCATAAATTAAATACTAATTTAGTACACTTAAATGTTTCAAGCATTTAGAATAATATCAATTATATAATTTGTTGTGATTATAATCAAGCTCAATATTTGAGTCACTAGAACAGGTGAAATTTGAGGTAACCAATGGTCTGTTCGGAAAAGGCTGATTTTCATTACCAGCATATTTCATAAGTAATGTTGGGAAGAACTTTCAGTGAAAAGGGGGAGACACAGTACATTGAATAAGTGTGTTCTTAGCTTTGCTCTTGCTACCTTAATATGGTTCCACTATTTTCGCGGATTAACATAACATGTAACAATTGCATATCTAGAAGAAGATTTATAACATTACATAACAGTCTTTTCCAAGTGTTAATGGAAAATGAGTGGAGCCCACAGCAGGCCAGGGCAGGCAGGAAGCTTGGCTTCCTCCATCGCCAGGGGCAACCCAAGCCTCCTGTTCACTCCAGCTCTGTGGCCGCCACCATCTTGGTTGGGTTTATATGCATACTCGCTCCTGATTGGCTTGTGGGTGTGTCATGTGGGTGTAGCAGAGGTACCGTCAGTTTGCATGTTTCTCTTTTATTAGATAAGATATATTTATTAGAAAAAGAGTAGGATGTTCCACATAATCTTGTAAATGAGATAGGCAGGTTGTGATCAGATGTCACCAATAAATCCTTTCTAAATATTAATAGAAGTATGTGATGTCTTGGGATTGTCATTTCTATCTCAATGGTTATGCTAAAAATGGATCAAAACATTATCCAATTTGAAGTAGGTTGCAAGTCTTACCTTGAGAGCTTTTCTACCAATAGGTAAATCCCTCTTTGCCTACCTACTTACTAAAATTAGTTCTGATAGTTTGGTTGTCAGGCTCTTCTTTGTTAGAGGACTGAGAGCAATGCTGATTATATCTACGTATTGCTTAGTGTTTCACTGAAGAGGAAAAGGTGGTGTGTTTAAAATAAAGCAAACACTCCTGGCCAGTTTTTCTCAGTGGTTAGAGCATCAAGCTGTGGACTGAAGGGTTCTGGGCTCAATTCCCAGGCAAGGACAGGAACCTGGGTTGCAGGTTTCCCAGCCCTGGTAGGAGCGCATGCCTGTGGCAACCAATCCATGTTTCTCTCTCAGATAATGTTTCTCTCTCTCCCCTCCCTCCCTTCCACTCCCTCTAGAAATCATTGGAGAAAAATATCCTCGGGTGAGGATATAAAAAAATATACAACTAAGAGAAACAGAAACCCCATCTCTTGGACCCTGAACATCCTTTACATTATGTATTAAAACAACCAGTGTCACATGGTTCAATGTCTTTATTACGACCTTTACATTTTCCAAGAAATTCTTAAGAGTTCCACCTGTAGCCTTAACTGTAGCCTTAATTGGCTCAGTGGATAGAGCGTCGGCCTGCTGACTGAAAGGTCCCAGGTTCGATTCTGGTCAAGGGTATGTACCTTGGTTGTGGGCACATCCCCAGTGGGAAGTATACGGGAGGCAGCTGATCAATGTTTCTCTCTCATCAATGTTTCTAACTCTCTATCCCTCTCCCTTCCTCTCTGTAAAAAATCAATAAAATATATTTAAAAAAAAAAAGAGTTCCAGTTTCTATGAAAGAATACCAAAGGGATTGAAATCCATTCTTTTGAAGGAATACCTAGTTTTTGCCAAGGTAAATTTTAAAGGTTAACTAGCAAAAGGATTAGAGTAATCATAAAGTTAGCAACTTAAAAATAAAAGTCTTAAAATGAAAAAAAAATCCTTCTTTCATTGTGTCTAGAATTTGAACTGCTTTCCCCAAAATGTAATATAAGACTGTTGTTATAAACATACAAAATGTAAAAATAACAACAATTGCCCTGGCCAGTGTGGCTCAGTTGGTTGGGCATCGTCCTATGCACGGAGAGGTTGCTGTTTAGATTCACGGTCAGGGCCCGTGCTCGGGTTGCAGGCTGGATCCCAGAAGGGATCATACAGGAGGCATCTGATCGATAGGACGCTTTCAGACAGATGTTTCTCTCTTCTCCCTTCCTCTCTCTCTCTAAAAATCAATAAATTACTCTTTTAAAAAAACAACAACCACCACCATCAATTCACAGCAAGATTGATTGTTTTACATGATTATCACTTATGAAGATGGATAATATATGAATGACCCAACAACAAATTCACAGGAGAAAATAGGTTCCTGCTGCCACTGATAATAGTTTATCAAAGATTATATTGGTAAAATTAGCTCTAATCTTTAACTGCAGCAAGACAAGCAATTCCGTGAAAGTGCTGAGTTGTGGTGGTGATGCAGTCGAGGGAGGTAACTGCTCACAAACTGCGAAAACTATCCTTCTCAACACGCCACCCACTGACTATATAGTCAGAGGACATGTGCCCCTGCTTGGTGTAAAATACACTAAGTTTCAATCATAAACCAAGGGTGTTTAATTAAATAACTGCTAAATGCTAAAAAAAAAAATAAGTGGGGTCAGAGCCAAGCGAACAAATCCCATAAACCAAGGGTGTTTAATTAAATAACTGCTAAAAAAAATAAGTGGGGTCAGAGCCAAGCGAACAAATCAACAATAACCAACATATCAACAATAGCTAGTCTACAGAGCAGATATTCTGTCACTCAACAGAACTGATGAGGCAGCAGATCTTCCAATAGGGCTACCCCACTTATGAGCAAATAAACAGGGTAAAGTGGCAGCATCCACACAATAAAAATTTGAATGAGTGAGTTTATCACACAATAAAAATTTTTAACAAATAAAATTTTCAAGCAAGGAGATGTCTCAAACAGCAGAATTCATAGGTGGACGCAGAGTTCCACTAGGCTGAAGCGATAAACTTGAATAGTTTACGTGAAAAGAGCAGGCAATAGAAAACACTCTGGAAATGACCTTAGAGGGTTTTAAATATTTAATGGGAGTCACACAGAATGGCCAAGTGTAAGTGGGCATCTACATCATCATTGCATTCTGTGGACAAGTTAATTTAAACAGCCACTTAACCTCTTTGCTCAAAAGCTTCTGATGTGTCCGTTTCCCACCTGTGTAAAGCTTTAGGAGAATGGCTTATATTTTTCTGATTGGGTGAAGTCAGAGACCCGTCTATCTCTGGACTCACAGAACGCTCATAGTGCTTAGGCACTGAAGAGAGGATATGCCTGTGGCTGGCACACCAGTAAGGGCTTATCACAGAGTGAGGGGTGAGGGCCAATGTTCTCAGTGAGGTTATATTTATAGTCACAAAGATACACTGTTGTCAGAATTTGCTAAATGTATACACTCAAACAGCCAACCATTTTCGGAATTTTGTTTGACATTTCAAAAAAGAGAAGTGTCTTTACCTTTTGAAAGGTAAGCCTGTAGAAATCAAATTATAATGCCATAAAATAGCATTGAATATAGTAATGGAATATCTTAAGCTCTTAACTCCATGGTGTCTTTTAAAAATTGTACAAACACAGTGAAAGTAACAAGGAGAGAAAACTACAAATAACTTCAAGTGCTGAAACATTCACAAGTAAGGCAATATATCCTTGGAGGACTTCCACTAGTTCATACAATGAAATTAACTTGTGCCTCAATGGTATCCGTGGCTTACTTTTGCGTATACTTTTTGTTCATCTTGCACATCCTGGCGGGCTTGGATTTCAACCATCTCGTACTGCAGGGAAGCAACCATCTTTCCAACGTTTTCTGAAGCCGTTAAAATAGCTTGCAAAACACGTCTGTCTGTAGTGACCGGTTTTAAGTTTTCTAATTTCATTTCTTCATAAATTTCATTCCATATTTCTCCAATCTGTTATAACAAAGTTTAAGTTTAAAAAAGTCAAATTAACAAAAAATAAAAGATACAATTTTAGGTAATACTTTATTGTGATTGTTGTTCCAAAGTTAACACGTACCGAACCAGCTTTTCCTAACTTACTCCTTAGGCATGAGCTAAGTGCCCTGGGGATGATTTGGAGCACCAGTTACATTTGAGTATTCAGAAATCAAGGATACGGTATTCATGGATGAGGCTCCACTACCTAGGTCTAGTTCATTGCCATCATCCCTGCCCTCTGGTTATACTCACTCTTTTCACAGCTGCAGAAACTGCTGCTTTAGTCTCATCCTCTTGAACTACTGATGTTCTCCTTCCTAAAGCTTTATACTGAAGGACGAGTCATGCTGAACTTACAGGACAATGACCATGGGAATTCCTGGGACCCTACCACCTAGCTACCCTGAGAAACAGGGCCCTGCCCCTCGCCTTCTTGCTAAAGCGTCACTGAATCTCAAGCTCTTAACTCCATGTTTCTATCGCATATTTTGGGTTGTTGGAAATTAATGTGCTTGAGTACATTTAAATTTAAAGAAAAATTTATATATCCAGGATAGAGATAAAATTCAGTCACCTTTTCATTTGAAAATAGAGGTTTATTCATTTACGACATTCAAACACAGTATACTAGCATTAGTAGAAGAAATGTTTACTTGAACAGACTCCCCTGAAACTTCAAAAGCATTTATTTACCAAAAATATAACCAGCAAGGTAAGCAACCTATCCTTGAACTGACATTTGATATCACATAAAGTAATGATAAAAGAATACTTTAATAAGTATTAATTTATTTTAATAAGCAATAACTCATTTAACTCTAGCTCCAAATGATCTATAAAGAAAAGAAATTATATTTTACACATTCTATTAGGCTTCTGAATAGCTCAATCTCAGTAAGAGCCATTTTCTTTTATACGCTCACCAGAGGCCCGGTGCACAAAATTCATAAACCGGTAGGGTCCCCAGGCCTGGCCGGCAATCAGGGCCGATCGGGGGCTTCCGGCTGCTGGCCGGAGCCTTCCTTCCCCCGGCTGCCAGATGCCAGACGGGGCCTTCCTTTGTTCCCTGCCACTCCCTGGTGGTCAGTGCACCTCATAGCAGGCGGTTGAGCTCCCGGTAGGTCAAACTCCCAAGGGGAAATTTGCATGTTAGCTTTTTATTATATAGGATAGTGGATGAAATCTTATCCCATAGATAATATAGAATCAATTTTTGTTATGTCTTTTGAATAGTATCAGATGCAAAATGGAAAATGAACACTGCATAGTTTGGGTGACTGTTCACAATTACAAACAGATATTTTATTTCCCAATTGACTTTTTTGCCATATGAGGTTTTAATAATAAGGTTAAGAAGGTACTCACTTTAAAATCAAGATATCTATGTATGATACAAAGGGTCACAAAATCTTCAGTAGAGAGGCCAGGTAAATTTTCAAAATCTAAATGAAGTTTATATAGAGAGAATTACTTTAACAGAGCACGTGATCCCAACACACACACACACACAATTAAAACAGTGCAAACAGTTCCTTTTGAATTCATCTTGACTTATGAAAAAGTTACTTCTATGAGCTTCTGACTTCTTATTGCCAGGCCATCCTTACGTACTCATTAAAGAGGAATAGTTTCTGTGCTTTGGTCAGACTACGGTAATATTCTTTCAGAACCCCAAAAGTGAGGACTTTTTCCTTAGTCAGAAGCAGGACTTTAAAAAAACCCCTCAGGTGACTCAGAATTCTTGTGTTGATCCTAGTTATCCAAAATAACTGCCTTTAATTTGATTGATCAGGGTGTAGCCTGGACATTGGGAAAACAATGGAACATGCATTTATCAGTATAAAGGAACTTTTGTTCATCATGTTTGAAAAACGGGTTCCAAAGCAAAAGCAATATATATACTTAGCAAAACAGGGAGGCTTTTGTGAATCTGACAAGTAGCTTCTTACCTAGTTTGCCCAACACAGCATAAATTTTTGCTCTAATGTTTTCTGCAACATCCATAACTGCGAAGGTCGGGCAGTTAGCAGGCATTGGCATGATTTTTTGCTCTACTTGAAAACTAGTAAATAGAGGTTTCCTTGTATCTAATCAATAGATGTCGTGAAAACATAGAGAGACAATAAAAACAGTAGTAAATTAATATATAATTTTGAGATTTTAGTCCAGACATCATAAAACAGTGGTTCTCAACCTTCCTAATGCCGTGACCTTTTAATACAGTTCCTCATGTTGTGGTGACCCCCAATTTCATTGTTACAAATTGAACATAATTAAAGCATAGTGATTAATCACAAAAACAATATGCAATTATATATGTGTTTTCCGATGGTCTTAGGCGACCCCTGTGAAAGGGTCGTTCGACCCCCAAAGGGGTCGCAACCTACAGGTTGAGAAATGCTGTCATAAAATATTTCAGAACATTATAACACATTAAAATAGTGCCTTGTACATTGTTACTCTTTTTTTAAAAAAAAAAACACATATATATTTTTGTTGATTTCAGAGAGGAGGGGAGAGGTAGAGAGAGAAGCATCAATGATGACAGAATCATTTAGCCACTGCCTCCTGCATGCCCCACACTGGGGATCGAGCCTGTAACCCAGGCACATGCCATGACCTGGAATCAAACTGTATGGTTCATAGATTGACACTCAACCACTGAGCTACACTGACTGGGGGGCATGGTTACTCTTTTGAAAGCATCAGTAATCAGTGATTTCTTCCCCATTCTGTGGCAAAACTTATAGCTTTCATTTTTATTATTTATGTAAGATATAAACATTTCACAAAATTACTTTTTAAAAGTGAAATTCTTGCCCTGGCCAGGTGGCTCAGCTGGCTGGAGCATCATCCTGTACACCAAAAGGTTGCAAGTTCAATTCCTGGTTAGAGCACATTCCTAGGTTGCAGGTTTGATCCCCAGTTGGGGCATGTACAAGAGGCGAAATTGATGTTTCTCTCTCACATCGATGTTTCTCTCCATTCCTTTCTCTCTAAAAAAATCAATAAGAAACATATCCTCGGGTGAGGATTAAAAAAATAAAAAGTAAAACTCTTATGTAATTTTTCTAATTTTGAAATCCAGATTTTGAACAATGTCAATTTAACAATGATGTAATCTCCTTTGCTTTTGGTTTCTATATATGTATTATGATATATAACTATTTTATGATATTATAGATCAAAACTCATAAATAATAAAATCAGATTGAAGATAGAAATCATCAGAAATTAAAGAGAGCCCTAGCAGGTTTGGCTCAGTGGATAGAGCATCAGCCCATGGACTGAAGGGTCCCGGGTTCAATTCCAGTAAAGGGCATGGAGCTCAGTTGCAGGGTTCATTGGTAATTGATATGTCTCTCACATTGATGCTTTTCTCTTTCTGTCTCTCCCCCTTGTTCCATTCTCTCTCTAAAAAAATAAAATAAAATAAATCAATGGAAAAATATCGTCGGGTGAGGATTAACAAAACAAAAAAAAAGGAAAGTATTTTCATTTAAAAATAAATAATACTAAGTTTAGATGAAACCATAATAAGAATATTCAGAGATTTAGAAAATGTAATATAGCATTATAGAGTAGATAAATGAACTATAAATTCTAATACTGTAAACTTCATTGAATTAGAATCTAGTAACTAAAATTTATAAAACTTTTGATTTATTTTTATTCAAAAAAGTAAGTTTCTTCACAAAAAAGTAAATTATATAAATATGAAGCAACAACAATGTACAAAATGCTATAAAAATTGTTTTCAAGCACTCTATTTACATCCCACATTTTATTGGTAATGAAATATTACTGAATCTATTTGTAAAAGCAGGTAACCCAAAGAAACTTCTTTAGGAAGTAGTTAATTTTTTTCAAGTTAAAGTAGATGACAAAATAGCATTTCCTGAAATTTTTCTATAAAAATATGATTCTACTACTACTATACTTAGTTTTCTTCCAATCATTCAGAATTTATGATGGTAAGATGTGCAAACACCTGTGAAAAGAACTTTAAGCAAAGGGATGAAAATCTTTATACGTTCCTAATATCTTATTTTTTCTTTTTTTAAAATCAAATTTATTGGGCTAACATTACATAAGTTAATAATAACATTATATAAGTAACTAATAACATCATATAAGCTTCAAGTTTACAATTCTGTAATACATCATTTGCATCTCGCGTGTGTGCTCACCACCCAAAGTCTCGTCTCCTTCTGTCACCATGTATTTGACCCCCTTTACTCTATCTTCCCCCACCCCTCTTCCCTCTAGTAATTACCATATTGTTATCTGTGTCTATTACTTTCCTAATCTTTCTAAGATATTTTAAACAATGAATCTAATTGCTTGTACTAACGATTATAAATACACTCACCAATAATCATCCCGCGTTTATCACGTAGTACTCCTAGTTCCCTTTCTTCCTTTCTCCACAATTTAATCAAAAGGCTGGCAGCTGTTTGGTCCTTCTTCCCTCGCCAAGCATTGACGTGAACCGGGGTTTTGGGATTATCACAAAATTCAACCATTATTGCAAGTATTAGACTACAGAATTTTTTTTGGTCCAACTTTTATAAGGGAACAGAAAAAGAAAAAGTTGCAATAAATATTAAGAACTATTATGTTAAAAAAGGAGAAACATTTGTATTAATCAGTGCTTCCTCTAAAGGATTGCCTTATAAAAGCGAAACTCTACGTAAGTATGATCGGTGCTAATTTCCTGTTAAAATAGAAGCCAATTGTAATGAATACATTTTCAAACATTAGGAATTGAAAAGAAGAAAAAGATTAAATATAATTCTAATGTTGTTACAAACATACATCACGACCTAAAATGAAACTGACTGACTGACAAGGAAAAAGGGAGAGTGCAAAAATAAATAAAGATGTTTATTTTAGGTGGAGCCAGGTCAACAGTGCTGTATATAAGTCACTGGAACAATAGGATCTTTCCAATTTACATGCTTTAAGGTATGTAAAGACTCATAACAGCTATAACCTCATTGTTACTAAGAGAAGTAGTGATGGTAATTGCAAGTGGTAGTCACATATGAAAATAATTCAAAATGAGGTGTAATTTTGTATTTTGAACATCTGCATCCATAAAAGAAAATTATCAAGCATATTTCCTTTGTTTTGTGAGAGCTAGTTTGCAGCAAAGCAAAATGTAGGCAGAGAGAAGCGATCCACAGCAATGGCCTCCACACAGTGATGGTTTCTGTGTGGAATATATGTTATTGATGAACTCTTACAGTATACTGCTGATAGAATAGCAAAGGAAACATAACCTGTGGTTCCAATTATAATAATCATTTCCTCTTTTATTACATGAAGGATAATAACATTTACCTACTTTAGAGAGTTATTATGATGAGTCATATGAGACTGCCTGTCACATAGTAAACTCTCAATAATATTTAACCACTATTAGCAATTATTATTACACACTGAATACATATTTTAGCTGATTACATTAAGCAGAACTCTCAATACAGTGAATTTTTTATTTCTGTACTTCACTTTTAGAAGGGCTGGGGTTAATATAAAAACTTCATTAAAAATGTTTGTAATTGTAATTTAACTTGTAATTTAATTGTAATTTACAAACTACATTAAGCACAATCGAGTAATTATATTCATAATAGTGGAAACACATGCATAGTTTCTGAAACATCTAACTAATGTTACAATAACACTGTGTGTATATGTGAATATAAAGTGTATATACATATGCATGTGCACATGTATGCATGCCTACACATATCACTCATCCTCCTCCCAACAGTGCATGAGGTAAGTATCTCTGTTTTGAGGAAGTTGATATCAGAGAAAAGTGACTTATCCAGTTACACAGTCAACAAGTATTGGCTTCCAGCCTATGCTCACAGTCACTGTACTATATGACCTGTCCTACCGGCCTTTGTACCTTTCCATCAAAGAAACCCTAACGGCAAAGGAGAGTGAACACAAGGGAGAAATGTCTTTGAAGTCTTGTATATAATTTTAAATGTTGATATAAAACTTAAGTATTTAATCTATGGATACATGTTTAATATAACTCCTCACTTCCAAATCTTTAGGAAAAAAACAAGATTCCAGGAAGATGAGCCAAATTAATTTTGGGACGTTGAGAATCCCCTGACACAGCACCACGTGCCTCTGAGCATACTTATGCTGTATTCAGAGAAATGTGGTAAGTGGTACATCGTTTAGGACCGCATTAGTAGAGGTGCACATATATTCTTCTCTATATGTTCAATTTTCTGAGCATCTTAAGGGTTTCTGGTTATGATCCATTCCTGTTTATCAAGGTGGGTTATTTTAATAATTATTATTTATTTTTGTTTGTAATGCTTTATAGCTAATGAATTTGCTCTCTCATCTCTAGTGTCAACTAATTTTCTTTATTTTATTATTATTTTTTAATCCTCACCTGAGGATATTTTTTCCATTGATTTTTAGAAAAAGTGAAAGGGAGAGAGGATGGGGAGAGAAAGAGAGAGAAACATCAATGCTAGAGAGACACATTGATTGGTTGCCCTCTTCTCCTCCACCCCCCTGCAACACTCCCCCATCAGGACTGGAGAACCTGCAACCAAGGTATGTGCCCTTGACTGGGAATTGAACCTATGACCCTTCGGTCTGCAGGCCAACACTCCAACGACCGAGCCAAATCAGCCAGGGCTAATTTTCTTTTATTTATTTATCATTTTTCCTAGTTGAGTTT